AAAAAAAAAAAAAAAAGTTTTTTAAATTTAAAAATGAATTCCAGATGCTGCAGTGGGGGCTACTGAGATCTCACGGCCCAAAAGCCATTGGAATTTTTTTATCACTCTGCTCACCAGTTTTCACAGACAAAAATGTGTCTCCGGCAAGGCAGGGACTCTTAAAACATCTTATCGTTCGGCTGTTGTGTCCATTCTGAATGAGGAAACTCAGGAGAGCCGGGAGGGACATGAGCCCTTCCACCTGGGTGATTTTCACGTGTGCTTGCGGTGTTGTTTCCACAGGTTAAAGGCCCTGTCACGAGCAACTCCATTTTGCTGAATAACTTGGAGCCATTCAGAGTGTACTGTCTGCAAGTCCAGGCACAACTGTTTTGGACAACGCCGAGGATTGTTAATCCCGGGAGTTTCAGCGACACGTTTTGCTATGAAACCACAGCAGACGGTAAAGCACCCTTCTTGAATCCTTTATGATCTGGGGAAAGAATACTCCTAAAGCAGCGAGGAGTCATTTATGAACTGATTGGTGGTGGGGACAGAGAAGACCCAGAAAGGAGGTAAAGAGAGAGCATTTAACTGCGGATGTGAGGTACTGGGGCTGAGGTCTGCAGAGACAAGAGCTGCCAGACAGCTGGCACATGCTGTTCTGTTATAGGCTCACCTACTGTCACTTGAGCATTACTTCTCTGAAATGCTTGGGACCAGGCGTGCTTCAGATTCCAGACCTTTTCATATTTTAGACTATTTTTTTAAATGGACATGGTGGTGCACGCCTATAATCCCAGCACTCTTGGGAGGCTGAGGCAGGAGGATCGCCATGAGTTCAAGGCCAGCCTGGGCTACAGAGTGAGTTCAAGGCCAGCCTGAACTACACAGCGAGACCTTCTCAAACAAGAAAGGAAAAACAAGAATATTTGCCTATACATAAGGAGATATCTCAGGATTGGGACCCAGAGTTCATTTATGTTTCATTAAGCTCATTTATACCAGTGATGGCAAACCTGTTAGAGATGAGTGGCCAAACTGCAACCCCAAACCCATTTATTTATGGCAAAATCCCAACAGTCGAGTTAAACCTAAATACAGAGGTTTTAGTTTAGAAAAACAATGCATATATCAACATCTTTTGTCTTAAAACAGAAACACAGTCAGATACGTGCCACAGGTTCCCCACCACTGCCTTATACACATGGCCTAGAGGGGATTCTACACAGTATTTTTAGTGCACTTGGATTGTTTTTTTATTCATTAAGTTTATTGATACATTTTAGGAATACAGTATGCTGACAGTCATCACTGGGAATTTGCACCTTTACATGATATATCTCAGTTCTTATTTTTTCCCCATTCCCTGCCCTCCCTCCAACCCTTCCACCCTTCCCTAATTACAAAGACTTTGTTGCCATTTTTTTCCTTTGCTCACATTTTTTCCATTCCCTTCTTCCCTTTCCCCAACTCCTCCCACTTCCCCTACCAATTTAGACCTTTTCTTCCTATTTCACATTTTGATTCTCGTTTACACTTTAAAGAGTTTCTCACACCAGAGAAACGATTCAGTATTTACACACGTGTGTCCTATTTATTTCATTTAAGAGCTTGGCCTCAGTGTGCTTCCATTTAGCTGTAAATGTCTCCTGTTTCTCATTCTTTATGGCTGACTAGTACTCCATTTTTTTAAATCTTCTTTATCTAGTCACCAGTTGATGGGCACTAGGGCTATTTCCAGTATTTAGCTATTATAAACTGAGTGTTATAAATGTGTACAGATATCACTGTGGTATCCTCCCAAAAGAGTTAAAAGCACCTGGGTTTTTGACTGACCCATGTTGCTAGGTCAGGTGTGAAATTTTCCCCTAGTGAGCATCATATTAATGATCAAAAAGTTTCCAGGTTTGAAGCATTTCAGACCAAATTTTTTGCATCAGAGATGCTCAACCTGTATTAATTAATCATAAGACAGAGCCAGGCATGATAGCACATGCCTCTGATCCCAGTGCTCAGGAGGCTGAGGCAGGAGGATTGCTGTGAGATTGAGGCCAGAGTGGGCTAAACAGTAAATTCAAGGCCAGCCTGAACTATATAGTGAGACCCTGTCTCATAAATAAATAAATCAGTAAAAGCATAAGGTGGGGCAGAGGGAGAGGGACCTATCCATTCTCCTGGGACAGGAATGCTGTTTAAGCAGGTGAGAAATGAACTGGTGTTTGTAACATGTGTGGGATGGACATTCTGTTCCTGTTTTGTCATCCTTTAGCCTCCGCCAAGCTGCAGCAGATCATCCTGATCTCGGTGGGAATCTTTTTACTGATGCTGGTACTGACGGGGGCCTGTTTCTTCCTGGTCCTGAAATACCAAGGGCTGATTAAATACTGGTTTCATACTCCGCCAAGCATTCCGTCACAATTAGAAGAGGTATGTGCACCACCCCTACGACTACAAGGGGGCACTGAGCCGTGAGCACTCACTAACCTGGGCTAGTGAGTTTGAGACCAACCTGGAGACCTTCTATTTTTCAATTTTTAAAATTTTTTATTTTTTACTTTTTGGTACCAGTGGTAGAACTCAGGACCTTGCAAGGCAGGTGGTAGAACCACTGAGCTAAATCCCTGGCCCCTAGAGACCCTCTCTTAAAAGAAAAAAAAAAAAGGCTGAAACAGTATTCGTGTATGAGAACCCATTTCAGGTCCAGGGTGCAGCTCAGTGGTACAGCATGCATTTAGCATACACCAGGCCCTGGGTTCAATCCCAGCACTGCAGAAAAACAAAAAAATAATTTCATTGGTGGACAGAATAAAGTTATACCTGAATAAAATAAAAACAAAAGTAAAGGTGTGATCCTAGCACTTGGGAGGCTGAGGCAGGAGGATCATTGTGAGTTCGAGACCAGCCTGGGCTACATAGTGAGTTCTAGGTCAGTCTTAACTACATAGTGAGACTCTGTCTCAAAAAACCAAAAAAAAAAAAAAAGAAAAAAAAAACACTAAAAGAGTAAAGGTGTTATTTATGAAACTGATAAACTAATTACAATATCGGTTTTCAACCTTTTCTAGTACTTAAAGGACCCAGCCCAGCCCATCTTAGAGGTCCTGGACAAGGACAGTTCACCGAAGGATGACATCTGGGAGTCTGTGTCCATCATTTCCTTCCCAGAAAAGGAAGAAGACTTGGAAGCAAAGCATGGGTCCAGCCAGGGGACCCCAGAGGCGGACACTGAGCAAGGGAGCTGGTAACATCCTGCTGGACCTGGCAGAAACCCACTCCCTGCCTCGGAAGCCTGCCGTGCCAAGTGAGAGACACAGGGTCTGAGAGCGAGAAGACAGCTTAGGACTTTTTCTACGAAGTTCCTGAATCGCCAGGCGCAGTGGCATACACCTGTGAGCCCAGCACTCGGGAGGCTGAAGCAGGAGGATCACTGCAAGTTTGTGGCCAGCCTGGGCTACATAGCGAGACCCTGAAGTTTTCTGAATCATGTAAATTTCCAGGATGACTCTACAGAAATATCACAGAAGAATTAAGACTTCTTTTAAACACTAAAAGGCATGAAACTTCTTGTTTGCAACGTGACTACGGCATGTGATGGCATCACTGTTGGTTGGTCCAGGGCATCGGGACACTAGGTCTTCTGAACTCTGACAACTGAGTCATCCCAGTCTGTCCCGGCCGTCACCAAGAGGGGCCATCCAGGCTGCTGGCTAAAAATGTGACTCACCGTGGGGTGAGGATTTTTCTAATAATTTAAGTTTTTTCTAAAAGCCAGAAATAAAGGAGTGCATAGTGAACTTCTGAAATAGTCTATGTGCGCCCTTTTCTCTACACCTGGCCTTCTGGATTTTGACCTATTTTCAGCCAACTTTTGGCTTCTTAACCTTAGTCTGTATAAGCTGTGTTTTCTTGAGTAGCACCCATTAGAGCCGATGGGGCCCAGGGGACTCAGCAAGAACAGTGTGTGTGTGTGTGTGTGTGTGTGTGTGTGTGTGTGTGTGTGTGTCGTGTGATTCCTTGAAGAGTGATGAGGGTTTTCAGAAGTGACACTCGCACATGAGTCACACTGTGTTGAAAAGAACAAGCTGATCTGTGGTGTTTTCCACTGGACGCGCCAGGCCTGATGGTGCTGGTGCTGGGGGCTCTTTTGTTCAAATGACTTGTGCCTGATGCCCTGCTTTGGGCAGAAGCCCTGCTGGCCTCCTTGTCTCAACAGTGGAAGAGGAGGCGCCATCTGTAGGTTGATGAAGCTGCCTTCCCTTGCTCTGCTGGGCCCAGTCTTGCTGGTAGGAAGTTGGCTACTTTTCCTTTGTGCTGTGCAATGGGCTTTCCAGGCTGGCAAGAGTGAAAAAGGACAGGGCCAGGTGTGGACCTCTGTAGTAGAGCTCCTGCCTAGCATGCTCAGGGCCGTGTTCCATCATCAGCAACAAACAAAAAGTAGAACAGTGCCCCCCCGTGCCCTGTGGCCCCTACCCCATGCTCACAAGTCTTCTCTTAGGTGCACCTTGACTTGGCACAGGTTTAGAGGAAAAGTTAGTAAGTGGGAATGGTAAAGATTCTCTTGGCATCATTTAGGACAGAAGAGCTTCCTCGGATGGGCTATGGGAGGAGGATGAGCGGGTCATCCTCCGTCCCCTTAGGAGATTACTGTACGCCCAAGACCCCCCATGGGTACCAAGTCCCCTCGACACTCAAGTCCGTTATATAAAATGGGGTTGTGCTTGTATATAACCGAGGCACAGCCTCTGTACACTTTCAGTCATCTCTAGATTGCACGTTTATACCCTTAATGCCATGCCAACTCTGTAAACTGTGGCTGTCCTCTATTGTTTGGGGAACAATGACAAGAAAAAAACTCTGCACATGTTCAGTACAGACACAAGTATTTTTAATTCATGGTTGGTTGAATCCTTCAAGACAGAAGCTGTGGAGACCAGGGAAGAAAGAGAACAGACGAGAGTTATCTCCGCAGGAGGGGCACAGACAGATTCCATTAGAGAGAACAGGCTTAAAGGGACAGCTTATCAGGGGCCAGCAGGCCAGCTTTGGGGACCAGAGTCTGAGGAGGCTGTTATGGCTGCGGTCTAGGTGTCCCCCTCAAGCCTCATGTGGTCATAGGGTTGATCTAGAGTGTGTGACGCGCGGATTGATTCCCGATGCAGTGCTAGGCTCAAGGGTACTAGGATTAAGGGAGTGAGTGCTGCCCACCCCAAGTAGTCTAAATGAGATAAAAGGGCAGAGAGGAGCTGTTAACCTCCACCTCATTCCTCTGCTGCCTGTGCTCGCTGTGTTGTTTCTCCTGCTTGATGCTTGTTTGCCATCCCAGCCTCGGAGCCAGCCGATTATGGACTGAAACTTCTACGAACTGTTAAGTCAAATAAGCCCCTTACCCTCTAACTTTGGGTGCTGGGTATTTTTTCTCAGCAACTAGAGAAAAGTAACTACCACAGAGGCTGAACTGGATTCCGGATGAACTTGGCCTAATGTCCTGTGCCCAGTCGGTTGAAAGTGGCAGCTACATGAGTAACAAACTCAGAGTCCAAGCCCAGGGTCAATAACTGTTTTCTGATGCTCTTGGGGAAGAATCAGGCTGTCTCTGGTTATTCCCTTATGGGGGCCGACAGCAACACCAAACTTCACCAGTCTCAACCTCCCGGAGCACCATGGGAAAACATGGTGAGGGTATGAGCTGGCCTGCTTCTCAGGGCGAAAGGACAGGCATGACTGGGACACGCAAAGCACTCCCTTTTTAATAGTATTTTCTGAAAAAAATAAATATCTGGTTCTGCTTTGTACAATAGCTAATCAATAGAATTGATATTGCTAGTTTAAAAATATTAATTTAGGACTTTAATTTTTAGACAAAGTAAGATTTGGGTTGGAAGCAATCCTTTTTGGGGGAGGGTTGGTTTCTGAGGCAAGGTCTCTCAGTAGGTAGTTCAGGCTGGCCTGTGATCCTCCGGCCTCAGCATCCCAAATGCAGGGATTACAGGCAGGCTCTACCACACCTAGTTCAATCTTCTGATCATCTATAACAGTATAATCCATACATGCCTGACTAAATCCGGCCCATTCCCTATTTTTTTATAGCCTGTGAGCTAAGAATAGGTTTTACGTCTTCAAATTGTTTGAAAAAAAAAAAATATTTCATCACACGTGAAATATAAAATTCGTAACTACAATTGATTATGTTAAAATTGTACCTTGCCAAAACAGTTACATTTTGATTCACCTTTTTTTAGTGGTTTAAAATTATTTTCTAGTATGATATTTCTAAAAATTAAAAAAATGAAATTCAAATTTCAACATCAAGATTCACTGGAACTCTCTGAGGGTTCATTCATTTGTACTCCTTGTCTGTAGCTACTTTTGCAAGACAAGGTGGAATTCAGTTGCAACAGAGACTGCAAGGCCACAAACCCAAAGATAGCTGCTCCCTGGCCCTTTCAGGAAAGAGCTGCTGACCCCAGTCTGGTCAGTGAACCGGTCTCTGCAGGGGTGCAGAGATCTGCTCCTGTTGTAGGGTTGTGAGTTACAGAAGGCCCACACACGCACGGGGAGGTCTGGGGGCACAAGCTACAGGAGGAGGACATTTCACTCTGGTGTGCACCCTACAGACCCCACTGTGGACTGCGCAGGAGGGAGGCTGGATAGAGTGGGAGGGTGCACGGAAGGGGAGAGCTCTGTGTGAACAACTCCTCACTGGACAGTAGGTTAGTTGGTTAGGGTTAGGTGGACAGAGTGAGGCCACTTGTAGCCCATAGGAATTCTTGTGTGAATAAGATAAAGTCCCCGACCTCCAAGACACTATTTCCAAATGCTGTGAAACTCTTTTTTAAGTAAACAGACACATTTCCCATGCCTGTTCCTGTGAATGGCATCAGCTGTCACTGTATGTGGTACACACCCATGGAGACCAGACTCTGGTGTCCTTCAAGATAAGTCCTTGGGGTGAACTCTCCATCATACAGGAAGTGCTGAGGCCCAAGGGGGTGAAGGACAGAGGCTTTCAGAGGAGAGAAGGCCCCAGGGCAGGAACGGGAGGCAGGGTAGGGACTTAGAAAAGTTCTGTCTGTAGGACACCACCTGTGGGGCTGCTGTCTCCCTCTCCCTTTCTATGTGAAACAGCTTGGGTTGTACACTTCTATGACTTTCATTTATTTTATTTTATTTTATTTTTGGAGACAGAGTCTTGCTAATGGAGCCCAGGCTATCCTCGAACTCCTAACAATCCTCCTGTCTCAGCCTCCCAAGAGCTGGGACTACAGGTGTGCAATACCATGCCCAGCTTCAATTGATTTTAAACCACGTCTCTGTCCGTGGTTTCAAGTGCAGAGTTACTACGCAGTCGCACAGCGCTTTAAAGTCCCCTAGGCAATGGATATTCACAAACAGCCTGAATCTGAGATAAGAAAGATCCTAGCCCATCCTTACAGTTTGGTGAGAAATAAGGCTCCACCCAGTGTTTTCCAAGATGCAGCCGGACCTCCATGCCCCTAGCTGTCTGCAGGAGAAACAGAAGTGGCTTCCTTCCCGCTGAGCTCCCAGCCCCTGGGGAGGGCAGAGCTGGCTGTATTTGATTGGAGGGTACAGCAACTGCTGCTTGGGAGAGAGATCTGCTCCGGGTACCTCACCAGCACTCCTGACGTGAGCATGATGCAGCCTAAAAGCCATCATCCCTCTGTGGAGGTGAAGGCAGGTAGCAGAAATAAAGATAGGCAGAAAGGAGGCAAGGAAATCGAAAAGTCCTTTTAAAGAAAAACTGCAGCTTCTAGATGCAAAAGTTATTCAATCCTTTTTTTCCCATCCAAAGCAACCACCACAAAAAAAGACAACAAAACTAAAGCTTTTCCAGAGCCTTTCATTGTAAGTGCCCTTCTGCAGACCTCCGTCCCCAGGAGGAGCAGTGAGCAGCAGACTGCAGTGCGACAAAGGCAAGTGATCACGTTCTCACCTTGTGTAGGAGGCCGCTGTGAGTTGAGTCAAAGCCTGGACCGGTGAGAACATCAGAGGGCACCTGAGGACACAACCACCATTTAGCACAGAGGCATGACAGACTTTGTTAAAATCATAATAAATCAGCGTGGACAAACACACGGCTATTCAAGGGCCCATGGCTGTTTTGTCTGTGTCTCAGAAAAGCTGGAAGACATGCAGCTCTTGCCCTGGGATTTAGCTCAGTGGCACCACGGCTGCACCAAGTCCTGAGTTCGATCCCTGGTACCCAAAACAAAACACTGCTCTTTACCTTGGCATCATCCATAAGGGTTTAGATGACCTGTCCTGCCACACTTACCTACAGAAATTAAAATATCCTAAGCACAAGGTCCTGAGTTCTATCCCTAGTACCAAACAAATTAATTAAATAATTAAAATATCTTACTCGTGACTGCTAAAATAATTGAGGTATGTTATGTTCATCTAGTCTCTTAAGGGAAAAAGTGTAAGCTGTGATAAAAAAGTTACAAAATAATCAGGCTCAAAGCAAACCAACAGACTGCGGACTTTATTATTCTCAGCCTGGACGCCACCTTGTGACAAAAAGCTAAAAAGCACTCAGAGGAGGGGGAAAATGCCCGCCACGAAACATCAGGGGAAGGAAGCTAAGAGGGGCCCAGGAACTGCGCTCAGCATTTCCTTGGGTAAATTCTCAAACACTCTTATAGACTGGGAAACAGTTTCTGGTCACACTGCTGGCAAGTGGCCGAGCTAGAATGAGAGAGAAGTAAACCCACCTAAACATTATCCACCCCCCAACACCAAGACCCTAAATATAAACCAGAATA